AATATAATATTTTAAAGATTTTTATCATGCACTTCAGTAAAATTGGTCAAACTTATTTTATACTTTATTGTAGTTTTATTAATGAATAAGAGAGAGATTTACATTAAAATTCTTCGAAATACAATGTTGTCCCACGACTGTCATATTTTCAAGATAAATTCTAAGAAAAAATTCTCTCCGTGTGCATGCGTGTAAGAAAAGAGAAAAAAAAAGTTATAAAAAGCTCATTGTCAGATGAAATTCGTACATCGGTAATTCAGACTTGAGTAATAATGAAAATGCGGCATGAAGTCCAGAAACGGAGACCGGTCACAATATACGATGATGTATATACATATATATTATTCCGGATGTGCCCTCGTGTGCGAGCGAGTTGTACAATAAATCGTGATCGCGGTGGGAGAGTCTTTGTTCTTGTAAGGGAAGGCACGATGTGTATAAAAGACACCGAAGTAATCGAGAATAGGCATCGCAGTGAACGCAGCGAGACAATCATTTACGCACCGCACTCACCGCAGTTAAAAATGATGACCAAAATCTTTGTAAGTTTTCGTGAATAATTATCAATACGCATACTTTCATGCTATAAATATCTATAAATAATACACATTTTAATGCCTCGACCCCTTCCCCTGTATAAAATATTTTATAGTAATAATTACAACTGTAAAAAGACAGAAATTATCTTTCAATTAATTTGTTAATTTTTTACCTAAATTTTGCACCGAATATATGTACATGTATATCTGTCTTATATTAACATACAAAAAATATTTTGTTTAAATATACATTTCAATTACACAATATATGTATATATACACACACACACATATATATATATATAGTATATATTTTGTCGTTTCATTTATATCATATAATCTTTCAACATAATTTTTTATACTAAAAAATGATATGATATATTAAAAGTTTCTCCATAATTAATTACTTACATATCCGTGTTTAATATTAATATATATTATATATATTATATGTTATATTATATGTTAATATATATTATATATATTAATATATATTATATATTATATATTAATGAAGTAACAATGCAGAGAGGGTTTTTTTCGATTATCCGAAATTCATATGTTTGAAGGTTCTCATTGGCACTCTGGTGGCCGTCTGTTCTGCCCGCGCCGGAGTGATTCCTGCAGCGATTCCAGCAATTACGGCGGCCGTGCCAGCAGCTCTGACAGTCGGTACCTACGCCACGAGTTACAATGCACACGCCATCAATCATGCCATAGCCGCTCCATACGTAGCGGCTGCACCATTAGCTTATTCCGCTTACTCCGCTTATCCCGCTCTCCCGGCGGCGGCTTATTCCGCCCCTATCATCGCCGGAAGACGCTAAAAACAGCTGGAAAAAATAATTAAACCATACTGACCTCTGTCTGTACTGACTTAGATCCGATAAACACTAATTGGCTAATTGATATGTCAATGATGTCGACATATGCGTTATCGACATACGATATCTAATTTTTTTTCATAATTTCTTCTTTACATTATACAATGACATACACATTGATTGCGATTTTTTATTCCATTCCATCTGCTTTCCGTCCTTTATACGAATCCTGATTCTCTGTAGTCATTTTTGATCAAGTTTCGCAAAATGATCAATTCTTTATTGAAACTTGTACTCTTATATTTACGCATATGTATATGTAAGTACATACGCGTACATTTACATTGTATAGTTATATTTACGTAGCAGTAAGTGATTCGTTGCATAGAAGAGAATATCACTTCAATCGCGAAGCGAAATTTAAAGAAAAAAAAGTGCTTAATGCATTTTTTATCTCTGTGGATTCCTCTGTAAAAAGGATAATTTTGAATGAAAGAAAATACATCTCTCTGCTTAATCATTGCCATATTCTATTAATATTAACTTACAATATTAATGTCGATAAACCTGATACAAATATAGTCTGTGCCACATTTTGTACTCGTAAACATTTGTTTTGAATCTTTCTTTTTGTCATGTACACGCAAATATATATATATATATATATAATTTATATCTTAATACAGATGTATCTCGTTTGCTGTCCTTACATTATGCACAATGTACGTACAAATTATGATATAGGAGCCTATTTTGTAACTCTTAACGCGATTGTAACGCTACAGTTGCAGTCGTTAAGAATTATAGAATAGGCCACTAAAAAAAAATGAAAACGCAAACGTGAATTATATTTAAATAAAAATCGACGATTAAAGTAAATGTGAATGAAATGGTAACTATTCTTAATGGCAGAAGAATTGTGAAAAACCTACGTAAAAAAGTTTAACAAAATATTCTTAGAGTCATCATGTAAAACTATCCGCGCGAGTGCACGAGCGAAGCGTAGTTGAATAATCAAGTATGGCAAAAGTGACAGAGACAACATTACGCGCGTTGTCCCTCCCTCTTTAATCACTACGTTTTGCTAAAAGTTGTGTGTATACAATATAACAATGAACGCCTTTCGATTTGGCACAAGAGTTACAATATTTTTAGATCTTTGGTTTCGATAAATGGCTAGAGAGAGTAAAATCCAGAAATCTGGAGGTGACACGAAAATTAATGTTACACGCGAGCTTATAAATCGCCTTTATGCGCACATTTGCGTGAAACATGTCGATATATGTATACGTGTGCGTGTACACACCACACGCACGCACGCGCGCGCGCGCGCGCGCACACACACGCACACGCACACGCACGCACACACGCACGCACGCACACAACTTTCTGTCTCTTTTGAGAAACTTACTACGTAATTGCTACGCATGTATTTTTAAGCGTAAATAATGTCTGAAGTTAAAGAAAGAACGTAATATTATTGAATTGCGGTACTTATAAAATAAAATAGAACATTACGTTGCGTTTTACTTCTATAATGGAGTACGCTTATTTTTTACGTGTGCGTGTGTGTCTCATTAATTAATTTTCCTCGTTAGATTCGGCGAGAAAGCATAAGATTTTAAACAAAATTCAAACAAATTTGAATTTGCACTTACAACAAATACATGTATTTGAACAAATTATTTGCGATTGCAGAAATACTTGTAACTTATCCAGCTAATTCGCTAATGCATAAATATAATGACTAGAATAAAAACAAACGTTACAATCTGTTATCACCATGCAGAGATACATTTATCTAGCTACCGTATTAGGCATCTTGATAATTTCACTTATTTCATAAATATCAGAGCATCCCAGATAATACAGAGCATATTTAACAATTTGTAGAAACGATATATATTTCGAAACAATTTTATTGTTCGCGCAGACATCTTCGAAATCTTTTCTTTTTTTTTTTATAAAGAAATTCTAATCCTTTAATCTAAAAAATTGCATAATTTTTGCAAAAATTATGCTGCTCCGGGATGCTTTTGTTATCATCAAAGCCACGTTAAATGGAGTATTCCTTAATGGAGTATAGGTCCGAAATAGAAGAATATAAGCTAAGAGAGGTAACAACTTTTTAAAATCTTAATTATCACGGACGTGGCATTGGATCACGACGTAATTTTGTTTTCTTTCTTCTTTCTTCAACGATTACTCTATAAACGATATACTCACACATACATGTTCTGCATACACAGCTTATCGGAGAAGGGTAAACGATAAATAATTTAACAGCTATATAATTACGGATAAACGAACTTCCCTCTATCGATACTCCGTCATGCTGGAATAGATTTTTTCTTCGTAAAATCTCGTGCTACTTGACTTTTTTTAAAAAAATAATATCTGTTCTGTGCGTGTCCTGGATGTACCAAGACTACCGAGTACACTTTTGTCGCGTTAAATGACGATATTACGACTGTCTGTCATACGATATTAGTGAATTCTTTTTTTATTATTTTCTTAAGTCGAAAGTTTTTTCGTTTGTTAACTTTTTAATCGCGCGCGCGCGCGCGCGTGTGTCAAAATGTTCATCATCACCGATTTAGATATTAAATTGATTACGAAATTAAGACATAACTTTGAGTTACTCTTTATAATGTATGAAAATGGCAGTTCCCGCCTGCGATGCGAGCGTGTCGCGATGTAAAAACCATGCACAGTTAAATAATTAGCAATCACAAAATAAAATCATTTGGTATAAAAATAATTGTAAAAGGAGCCAAAGGTATCTATAATAAAAGTTGCTGAGAAGATGTTGACTATAAACCGCCACGACATTCGTCAGTGACAATCAATAATAACCGGGATAATGATGATATCCGGATCTCGGAGGATGATACGGGGCCGGACTCACGGGATAACTAGGATTGTATCCTGATAAAGGAGGTGGAGGTGGAGATAGCATTCGACCTTCGCCGACGTCAGGTACCACGTGTGTCGTAGTCGAGCCAACGGGTTGTGAACTGGTAATGACACGAGTACCAGATCCGTGCAGATGATGCGATCTGGAAAGACTTAGATCGACACTGTGTCTGCCACCAGGAGTGAGATCCAAGCTGACCACTCGCACGACCTCGTTATGCGGATAAGGTGGCGGTGGTGGGGGTGGGGACATAGAGTAACTGCCCGTTCTGCTGAGGTCCACGCTTTGTCGTTCACCGATGTCATACAAATGATGATGATGATAGCGGGTATTTTGCATTTGAGTGCCAAAACTGTGGTGAAAACCCCGAGCCGACATGTCTAAACCTTGAAGTTCACCACTATTAAGCACCATTGGCTCAAAATTGGTTCTCTCCCGGGTGAAATCTTGTTCGAGCGAGTCGTACTTGTACGACGTCGAAAGATCCAGCTGCAATGCCTTCTCCTTCACAGACAAGCTAAGATTCTGCGCCACCGAGTCACCCTCGTCGCTCGAGAGATTATCCGTTGGCACCTGATGATGATGCACGTCCTGGTAGCGGTGATTCGGCGTAGTTGACGGCGACACCAAGTCTTCTTGCTGCATGTGTATGTAATTCGGTGAAGAGACGCGTGGCATCTCCTCATGATGGAGATACTGTTCGATATTGTGCGTTCGCGAAGTGTTGATGTAGTCGACCGGTCGATGCAGATGATAATCTACGTGTAAGTGGCTAGGAGGAGTATGCCGGTCATCCGGAGTTGGTGCGGGCGACATTAGTTGCTCTTCTTGCTGTACGATATATGAATCTAGATGATTCGGCGATCGCGACTGCGGTATCGGTGACTGTAGCTGGTTCGAAATAGAGTAGAGGTTGGTTTCGCGATCATTGTCCTCCAAGATCGGACTGGATACTGTTCCTATGTCCCTCTCGGCGGCATCCAGAGCCGCCTCAACTAGCAAACTCGCATTCGCGCTTTCCGTCCTGCTACGGTATATGTTTAATCGCAATTTGTTGCTTTCTAATAAATTTGACGCTGTCGCACTGACACGTGAAACCGCTTTCTCGCTACCACCATCCTTTCTACCATCTTCAAAATCATAAATGTCAGAAGATGGCGCCGAGACAGCCGGTAAATGAACAGCGATGTCGGACGCAGGCGGCGGATTGAATTCAGTTAGCCACTTTTTGCTGCCCTTGCTCAACGTCCTCGATGTGTCGTATAGATCAACTTCTGTTTGCTCATTTTCCATCGTTGCAAGTCCACTGGACAAGGATGCAGTAGTTTGCGTAACCGGAACACAAGACTCTTGATGTTCCGTCTTATACTTTGCAGTAGAATTTGCCTCACTTTGTAATGAATCCACAATGACGTTGTGAGTAGAACTTGTCATTACTGCTGCTGCTGCTGCTGCTGCTGTCGCTGTCGCTGTTGATGCCGAAGCCAACACCGATACCGAGATTGATATCGATATCGGTGCTGATGAGGTTGTCGAGTTATCTGATGTTGACGATACTGGTGACGATATCGATATTGGTGCTGGTACCGATGCTAGTACCGGTGCTGATAGCGGTGCTGGTACCGGTGCTAGTATTGGTGCAGGTACTGATACCGGTACTGGTACCGATACCGGTGCCGATGCCTCGACTTTCAAACTGCTCTCCGAGCTGCAGTCATCCAGAGATGGTAAACTGTTGCTATTGTCCTGCTATACGAGGATATAATACATAATAAGAAAAGAAATTTTGCTAAATGTTATATAGAACTATATTAACGATAGAGCTCACTTGTGAATTTCTTCTGCTGGAATGAATGATCCTTCCACAAGGCATGTCCTCAACAAGGCCACCGCTGTATGCGTCAAAGGTGTACGCCACGGACCTCTCGATTTTCGGCATCATCGCCTCTGTAAGGCCGTGTACCTTCTTGTAATGGAATTGTAGACATTGTTTCGTAGTGAAAGCTGCCTTACAGCCATTCTCTTTACACCTGATGAAGAAGAAAAGACGATACGTGTAAATAGTACACTCATTATGAGAAAAATAATACAATAATAAAGGAACTCACCTAAATGGTTTCACACCGCTATGAGTTAACATATGTATTTTCAAATTGCTTTTGTTCTGAAACATTTTTCCACATCGATCGCAGGTGGCCGCAGCAATAACATCTTTGTGATGTACTTCTTTCATATGCCGCTGTAGAGCTGCTCGAGAACCCAAAAGTTTCAAGCACAATTTACATTGAAATTCCCTAAGCACTTCGGCCATATCTGCACAAAAACATATTGCATGTAAAATACAAGAAAAATAAAGATAGAAAGGAAATACCCTGCATTGCGAATGAATTACCGCTGTGCATCCTCTTGATGTGTACTTTCAGTTTTTGTGGCTGGCAAAATTTGCGGCCGCAGAAATCGCATAATGGCCGCGCCCGATGCGGATTCTGTGAGCATCCGTAAGTTCGGTGCATTTCTAAGTAATTCAGCCTTAAGAAAAACTTTTTACAATATTGACATTGGTATGCGCCGCGACCCTCGTGCAACTCTGCTGCGTGTTTCATAATATTATCCTTGCCGAGCACTGTAGCACCACAAACCTAACAAATGAGAAATAATTTATTTAAGAGCAGTCAATTTTTCATTTAAATATTATATTATATATACCAGGTATTTCAGATTATCCATATCACCCTTTTATCTTCGCAGAATAAGGTCCAATCGAAAAAGTGTTCAGACAAAAGTTGTAGGGTTTCAAAAGATCTATTTTTTGATGCTATATGAGTTTGATCTTCAGTAGCGTCGCCAAAGTCAGGTCGATTTTTTTAAATAGAACACCCTACTTTTTATTCTAGAATCTAATAGCCGATGTCGAGAGCTTTTCAAAACACTGTAATAAAATATTTTTTTATTAAGTACTTTGCGAGTTATAGAGTTTGAAAGTTACAGCACCGGCATTAGCATTACCCAAGGTGTCCGACGGATGGCTAAAACCTTTTGAATGTTGTTCAGGCTCATGTCCTGGATAACATTTGTCAAGATCAAAGCCATTGGAAATTATTCCTCTTATTTTCATTTTTGCACTAAAAATTCATTTTTACATAAAAAAAGAGATACAATCACCAATGGCCTTGATCTTGACAAATGTTATCCAGGACATGATCCTGAACAACATTCAAGAGGTTTTAGCCATCGGTCGGACAACTTGGATAATGCAAATGCCGGCAGTACTGTAACTTTTGAACTTCATAACTCGAAATGTACTTAAAGAAAAAATACTTTATTATAGCGTTTTGGAAAGCTCTTGAAATAAGCTGCAAGAATACACAATAAAAAATGGAAGATTCCGTTTAAAAAATTTTATTTAACATGGACCTGACTTTAAGGACATCTTCTCAAGGCCAAACAAGGTCACTGTCTTCTTTCCCCCTTGAAACCATAAAACTCTTGTCTGAAACATTTTTTGAAAAAATTTCTCCTTTTCGAGATATTCGCGTGTATTGATTAAAATGGCCTACTCTGCATACGTATATGTATTAATGTATATATATAAAATGGTAAATATATATATATATATTAATGTATATATATTATATATACATTCATACTGTATATAATATATATTATGTATATATATATATACACACACACTGTATATGTATTAATTTACATATATAAAACGGTAAATATATAAAATACCTTGCAATGATATTTTCTTATCGTTAAACTATAATTCATGTCATGAAAGATGCAGCAATGCAATCGATAATATATCGAATGTGCGAAAATAAGATTGCATCCTCCACAATCTGAAAGAGATGCAAACAATTATGAAAAAGTCTATGAGAGAAAGAGAGAAAAAGAAATTATTAGTTGACACACTCTATACACGCTTACTAGTTTTATTGATTTTATTCTTTCTCGTCCACGTGGAAGATTGCGACTCTACCCAGTAAGTCAGCTCCATTCCCAATGTGATATTCTGAGTTGTAACAAAATATAATTGGCTATGCTTAGCGATCACCGCGAGGCTTCTCTTCTCTTTCGTTTCAGCTGGTCTAATGTATCGAATCCAATTGCTTTTTAGTGGATCCGTAGTACTGATATATGTACTCTTTCCATTATTATCTATCTGAAAAGAAATAGATTCATTCCCGCAATAATTACTTTTGCGATACAATTTACAAATGCAATTTTACAATACCAAAATTCGAATGAATCAAAATGACGATAATACCTCCCAAATATGGCGCATAGAGAAATCATCCGGAATGTCCATTTCTCTAACCGGTATGCCGCGAAGCGGACCAAACTTGGCGTACATTGGAACCGGGTTCTTGGCATAGATGCCGAGACCGTGATCGGTATTAGCGATTTTCAATTCAAGGCAATCCGGCAGAGAATCTCTCGCGTACAGCGGTCGATCCATCTCTACTACCAACTGTTTCTCCTCCCTCTGCATCTTCGGTTTTGCCTTGCATTGTTCGTTGGACGTTGGAGATTCTTCATCTGACTCGAAGCCGTCGTACGCCAATCTGCCATAACCCTCCGACATTGGATCCTCCGATGCGATGGCTTTCATTATCTCCAAATTCTCCTTATGTCTGCTCAACCACTTATCGTAAGAGATGGTATCGGCTATCGCGTACTGTGATGTCGTCAAAGGACACGCGTCCTGCAAATGACGACTGTTGCATTCCTGGCAAAGCTTGATCTTGATCGCGAGTCTTTGTGGCTCGGACGCGACGTCGTCTGTGCTATCGATACCTTCGGGGCTGTGACTCGGGGCATTTTCTGCGTCCTCGACGCCCTCGATCCTTCCATATCTTTCTGGAGCCGTCGAAGATAGTAGCTCGGCCGCCTCCGGTGGACACGCGTTTCGTGCCTCCTCCTGTTTGACGATGCCATCTTGCGGCGCCTTTCGTACATCGTGATGTTTTTTGCTTTTGTGCTCGTTCGTATGTTTGTGCTTTTTTCGTCGGTGTTTAAACTGCACCGTCACCTCGTCTAAAGCATTATTTTCGGAGAGATCCTTCTCTTGGATTTGCACATCGTGACGCGGACGTTTCCGTCTTCTTTTCAATTTGCGATTCTCCGCATCTTCGCAGTTGTTGGACGCATCGCGTAACGTTACGTCCTTGTATTCGTGCGATTCCGCGCAACGCGTCAATTTGGCCTCGTGTTCCTTCTCAGGACGCTCTGCGTCAGCAGCATGTGTCTCGACTGTTTCGTCGGTACTGGGATGCAGGAAATATTTTACGTCCTTGTTCAAATCCTCAGTGTTGTATGCATGCTTTGGAAGAGACGTAGTTGTATCGGCGAAATGCAGCTTAGTAATAATATTATTCTCTAATGTATCCCTAGTCGAATCGCCAGGTACACCAATTACGTTTCCCTCGCACCTGGTCTCGCTGTTGGTTGTACTATTTACATTATCGTTTCGAATTCTAATGCTATCTATGTGATCAGTCTTGGTGGTAGGGGGTTTAACGTCTTTTGTATCGATTCTCAAGCTTTCTACATCTACGGTTAATTTAGGATCTAATTCACTGATTACGGTAATCTCGTGATTACTCGAATCTCTGTTCGCTGCCAAACTGTTTCGCAGATCTGGTGCATTCCCGCTGATACATTCAAATCTGTCTAGTCCAATAGAAGCACTATCTTGAATGCCGTTCTTCGAATGTCGCCGTTTTTTCCGTTTGTCCTTGCGATGCTTCGTCTTGTTCTTATGGTGCTTCGATCTCGAACTACGTCGTAAGTGCAACTTGATTACATCGTCCAACACCTCTGATACATTCTCGCTTATCATAGAGGCAGAAGCAAGTCGGATCTTGTTCGACGCAGGATCTCGTTTCGTTGGACTCGTGAGAACAGGCTCCTCCTCTTCCTCGTCCTTCTCGTCATCCTTATCTGAGCTTTCAGTCTTGATAGCTTCCTCATCTTGATCGCTATGTTCTCGATTCCTCTTCCAGTTCTCTGCTCCATTACATTTACCCTGTTGCCTATACAAGCATAAAAAGATGTATTAGTCTGCATTTCTTTGACTCTTATACTTTTTATTCACATAAATGTGTGTCGTATCTCAAACATCAATCTCATACGTTAAAATAAATTAGAAATAAAAAATTGGTGCAATGTTTGTCCAAGATGGGAATTTTATTCACTAGAAAATATTACTGTGTAGAAATGAAAGGAACAAAATGTGAATCATAGCGATTATTCCCCACGCGAAGAAGGCGAATGACGCTGTTTATCCGCGATTTTCGAAATATGCGTCTTCCGCAACGGGATATCGATCGATATCATTTTGCATCACCCAGTTCACCCTCCTCGCCGACCGTACATACATCGTCCCGCAAGATGGCGATTCGTCGAACGCGTTGGGACCGAGAGGCGAGTAGGGGGGAAAGCACCGAGCGACTGAACTGAACGCGACGAAATGCGTGTCGCGTGACAGCTAGGTGAGCTCATGAGCTGAGGTGAGCCAACTAGGGCTGAGCACTTGAGCAGGCTGAATTTGAGCTATGCCTTGTCGGGTTGTTGTCGGGTGCGCGACGTTGACAGACGCAACAAGACAAGACGATGCGATGCGATGCGATGCGATGCGATGCGATGCGATAAGATAAGATACGATACAATGCAGTCCGTTGGCGTCGTCAACGTAGTCAGGCCGTCATGCGAAGGAAACGTACCTAGTTAACCTAGTGGTGGTTGTGGTTGCGGTGCCGGTGGTGGTGCCGGTGGTGGTGGTGGTGGTGGTGGTGGCGGTGGTGGTGGT